TTTTATCTCTCATTTCCATGTTGCCTAGTGTGACCTACAGATAGATCCCTGTTTATAAATGGTGACAACGTCCAAATTAAGTTTGAACTGAGACCTCTAAGATTACTTTCCATCATTCTTATTCGCTAATGACAATGGCATTTATTGTGAGTGTGTGGGTGAGTACACACCAGAGGTCTTCAAAAAGTTCATGGAAAGATTCATATTATCTTTTAATTCAATTTTTCCGCAAACTTTTTGAAGTACCCTCATATATTTTACCATACCTGTAGAAGTGCTTTTGTGCAAGGTTTGAAAATACAGAAAAATGCAATCTCACATTCATTTTTGTTTGAAAATACAGGAAAATGCAATCTCACATTCATTTTCCAGAATGTTTGCCAGACCCTGTGGTGCTCAGTGAAAGGCTTTTGTCGCTCTAAGCTGGACGCTGCTGCAGATGGGACACAATGTGGTGAGAAGAAGGTGATGTGTCAGGCTGAGGAAGGACAGTGGGAGGTGGAGGGCTTACAGTTCTTGGGAAGAACTGGGGAGAAGGCCTGGCAGGGTAGCTCTCTTTGGGTGAGGAGCAGTGAATGGAGGCCACACAGTCAGACCAGCCAGATGGAAGGATTCAGCCTCCAGTACGCCTTGTGAGACTCCCCTGGGAACAAGCAGTTAGGGAGAGAGGGCTGAAGCCCAGTTGCACACTTCACTTGCAAAACATCTGTCCCATCTTTCCCTGATGAAGCTCCTTCTGTGGGGTTTGTGCCAAAAACATCTGCTGAGCCTATTATCATTTTGACTTTTTTCCCTCTATATTGAAGATTGGAAAGGACAAGCCAGTGGACTCTTCTTTCCAAAATATGGGATCTAGGCCACTTTTTATCTTCCTTCTCATCATCTGCCATGACTGCATTTCTTGAAGTTCTGCCCACTTTACTAAACAGAAAAGTCAGATACCCAAGAACTTGGAGATGTGAGAAATTCTCCAGACTGCCTGAGAAAAGGGTTATATGTGCCACTCAACTAAACCAGTTGGGTTTGTTGTGGGCCTAGGGCTTAGCCATTTAGTGGGTATCTTTATGCAGCTTGAGCATGGCATGACCCTGGTCAAAATACACAGTGACGAGAAAAAAATGAGGATAAAAAGGGACCAACGGATAAAATATACCCAAATCCTTCAGTAAACAATCAAGCTGCATTTCCTTTTATTTTCATTTTTGTATGTTTATCCTCCTACACTGACAGTTGTGGAAGTATCACTTGAAGAGGGAGAGAGTCAATTTTTTTCTGAGTCACTTGAAAGACCAGAACTGCAAAAAAATGCATAGCATTACAGGAAAGCAGAATTTTTTCTTGATATAAGAAGGAACTTCATAACAACTAGTGTTTTGGGATGGTGAAGTGGACTTTTTGCTTGAGGGTGAGTTCTCTGTTGCAGGCATTAAATACTTCTTTATAGCCACCGAGGCTATAAAGAAGTGCTGCTCACTGTGCCAGTCTATGAACAGTTATGGTCTGCAACAAGATAAGGAGCTTGTACCAGAAAGTAAGCAAACTATGTTACCAAACAACTGTTATTAAGCATCCTGAGCTGACATGCTTTTCATGGCAAGACTTTCTCAATGAAGGAAGTGGTATGTGGATTTACATTCTGGTATGCTATTTGCTGACCACAATTTGAGTAACACTCCTGCATTGGCTGTAACTAGGCACCATGAAGTTCCCTTCCATTTCTGAAACTCTCTGATTCTAAAACCCAAGACTTTTGGGGGAAACTTTTTATAAACCCGTCTTGTTTGACATCTGATGCATGACTCTAGGAGGTCTGCTGGCTCAGAGAGAATTGGGTTTAGGCTTCTAGGGTTCTTGGCTCAGGTTGCTATGGGAACCTTCTGACTTATGCATCTCCCGCCTCTTCCTTTCCAGTGGTGCATGGCTGGCAAGTGCATCACAGTGGGCAAGAAACCAGAGAGCATCCCTGGAGGCTGGGGCCGCTGGTCACCCTGGTCCCATTGTTCCAGGACCTGTGGGGCCGGAGCCCAGAGTGCAGAGAGGCTCTGCAACAACCCTGAGTAAGTCCAGTCAAATATATTCCCCCTCCTTCCTTTATTAAGCTCTGGAGACCAGGTGTGGATAGCATGACCTCAGTGACCCCAAACCTCCCAAGGGAAGTTAAATGGGTTCCCAAAGACAAAAAGGAACCAGGAGATTCACAGAGGGTGAAAAACAAAGTTGTTCTGTTTTGTTTTATTTTGTTTTGGCATAGCACTGAATTCTTACTGAAACTTGGATAAATCAGCCAATTTCAACACTTGGGAAAATAAGCAAATTTCTTTTAAATATGCGATCTATGTGAGAGCCTCTAGGAGATTATGCAATTAAATCCTTCTAGATAAATCCACTCTATCAGTAAGACATTAGTTATACACAATTTTGCTGATAAGATTATAGCTTGCTTTCAATCATAACGAATGTACAGTCTTACAAAAATATTTTTCTTCCCCTAGGTAACTAGTAAAAGCTAGGTTCATTTTTTTGAAAACAATTATTTTTAATATTTTAGATAAGGGTTTGTGTAAACCCTAGAATTCTATAGTAGCCTGTTAAAGATTCTGTAGAAGTTATTTCTTAGTGGCTTTTAATTTTTTAATCAAATTGCTTACATTTAATATGTTATTTTGTATGATGATATTACATATGAATTATGATTAAATTTTCTTTTTTCTAAATATGCATTAAATTCTTAATTTTATTATTTCCTGATACACTGGTTACCAAGTAATTTTTAAAAAGTGTTTATGTGATTCCTTCTTTAAGTGGAAAATATATGTTCATCTGCTTCGAAGAGTAAGTGTCACATTTTTAAAAGGCAAGCAATAAAAGTGATTGATTGACAGAGGTCTATGTGCAATATGTGATGCTCAACTCAGGATAATTAATATGTTCAACACTACACAATGTAATAATTTTTTGTGGCTGTTTACCAATTTCTTGCTAATCCTTCTTCCTCCTCCCTATTTCCTACCTCTGGTGGCCTCAGTTCCTTTCCCTCCTTTTGAAAGTTCAATGAGTTATTGAGATTGTTGTATTTCTTTCTTTCTTTCTTTATTTGTTTATTTTTTAACTCCAACTTATGAGTGAGGACATGTGGTATTTCTATTTCTGTGCTGGGCTTATTTCACTTAACATAATTTTCTCTAAGTTCATCCATGTTTCTGCAAATGGCAGAATGTCATTCTGTTCTACAGCAGAGTAGTATTCCATTGTGCATATATACCACATTTTCCTTATCCTGCCATCCATTGATGGACATTTGCGTTGGCTCCAACTCTTGGCTATTGTAAATAGAGCTGCAATAAACATGGGAGTGCAGGTATCCCTTTGACATGATGATTTCCATTCCTCTGGGTATATACCCAGCAGTGGGATTGCTGGATTGTGTGGCAGTTCTATCTGTAGCTGTCTGAGGAAACTTCATACTGTTTTCCATAATGGCTGTACTAATTTAAAGTCCCATCAACAGTATAGGAAGGTTCACCTTTCTCTGCATCCTTGCCAGCATTTGCTATTCTCTGTTGTTTTGAAAACAAGAAAGCAAGCTCACTTACAATAGTCACCAAAAAAAATAAAATACCTATGAATCAATTTAATGAAGGAGATAAAAGACTTCTACAAAGAGAGCTACAAAACCCTGCTGAAAGAAATCAAAGAGGACACAAAATGATGGAAAAACGGGCCGGCCCAGTGGCGCACTGCTACAGTGCACCGCTTGGGAGTGCGGTGGCGCTCCTGCCGAGGGTTCGGATCCCACATGCAGACCGGTTCCCGCTCACTGGCTGAGCGAGGTGTGGGAGCAACACCGAGGGTTGCGATCCCGTTGCCAGTCCCAGTCCGGTACGGGCGCAACACTGAGGGTTGCGATCCGCTGCCGGACACAAAAAAAGACCAAAAAGGAAAAAAAAAAAAAAATGATGGAAAAACATTCCATGCTCCTGGATTGGAAGAATCAACATTCTGAAAATGTCCATACTACCCAAAACAATCTATAGATTGCAGTCTACAGAATGCAATCCCCATCAAAAATATCATGGGGATTCTTCACAGAAATAGAAAAAACAATCCAAACATTCATATGGAACAACAAAAGACCTCAAATAGCCAAAGAAATCCCAGGCAAAAAAAATAAATACAGCTGGAGGCATAATACTTCCTGTTTTCAAATTATACTACAAAGCTACAATAACCAAAACAGCATGGCACTGGCATAAAAACAGACACTTGGACCAATGGAACAGAATAGAAAACCTAGAAATCAACCAACTTACAGCCAACTTATTTTTGACAAAGACAACAAGAATATACATTGGGGAAAAGACTGCCACTTCAATAAAAGGTACTGGGAAAACTGGACATCAATATGTAGAAGAATGAAACTAGACCAGTACCTCTTGCCGTATACCAAAATCAACTCAAAATGGAATAAAGACTGAAATATATGACCTGAAAGTATAAAACTCTTAAAATAAAACATAGGGGAAACACTTCAGGAAGCAGAACTTGGCAAAGACTTTATAAATAAGACTTCAAAAGCACAGGCAACAAAAGAAAAAATAAGCAAATGGGGTCATATCAAACTAAAAAGCTTCTGCACAGCAAAAGAAAGAATTAACAGAGCAAAAAAGACAACCTACAGAGTGGGAGAAAATATTTGCAATTATGCTTCTGTATTAGTCCATTTGTGTTGCTATAACAGAAATACCTGAGACTGAGTAATTTATAAAGAACAGAGGTTTATTTGGCTTACAATTCTG